CTTAGAAACTCAGCATTGATCCATCGCGTCGGGTGAATTAGTTCGAACTTAACTTCGCGCTATTATTTTAGAAGGGCGGCAAGCAAAATACTCCCTTTTTGAATTAGGATTTTTCGTCTGGTATAAGTATTTGCATATTTAAATATAAACATTTGAAAACTAGCTCCTTCTGAACTAGCTAGCTCTGCTATTTTCTAAGTTATAAATTTAAAAATCAACCCAAAGATCACTTATTAAATTTCGGTTTCCCAATTGACCTTTGTATTTCGTATTAACACTAGTGATTAATATTCTTTTACAAATGGATTTTAACCGTGTGATTTATTTGCAATCCCTTCACGTAGATTTTCACCTCGACTTGATTACTTGTCTTTTTTAACAGAAACTTTACCACACCGTGGACCGTAATTAATCCTAATTTGTACCCAAAGAGATGAGTTTTTTTACAGCTGTTTTATTTATCAACCACTGCTTGAATCTCCTGATTTTTGTCCCCACCCCCGCAATATGGGGGCGCAAAAACAAGGGAACGCTGAGTTTGACACTAGGAACTCTGTAAAAACTCAAAAAATCACAAAACGCAGCTCTACGATCCATGGAAATTCAAATCAGCGGCTTTCATATTAATAAGCACTGCCATTAAATACACCCGCCTGGTTGGTATCCGCACCCATTAAACGTGACATTTCTCACACATTCAGATTGGAAAAAAAACGCCGATATTTTAAGAAGAGTTGCGGTTCGATTAGGAGATGATGTGAAAAGGATGTAAAATGTTAAATTACAAATGAATGAGTGCAATGTACCCGAAAAGAAGATGGTGGAATTAACTGTTATTTTTCTCTTTAAGAACAAAAGCTTACCTGCTTGCTTATTAGTTTTTAGTAAATACAGCTACCTTTAAGACTGCTCTTTGGAATTTTGCCATGTCTGGACTTTAGACACAAATATTTATTGTTTTAGTTCCCTATACAACTCAATTTTTTGTCATTCTTAAACATTGCTTCCAATTTGCAATTCATGTTTATATTTGTATCGACCTCTTTTCATTTTTAGACCTGCCACTTTCTTTGCTTAATTACGTTTTGTTATATCTGAACACTTTCATTTTCTCCAAACATTTGTAATGATTTTCTGTACTGTTTAAAGACGTTTCCTAAGTTATCACAGTTTTTAATAGTTCGGTTAGTCTCAAATTTTGGCGTATTATATTGTTAAAACTATGCAATTCGGTTAATAACCAATGAAGATGTTAAAAGGGCCTCCTTATTTTTTGGCCAATTCCGATCATCCGATCTACAATTTTGATAAAGAATCTACATTTCATCGTAATCGGTTTATCCCTTCTCTTTTAAATCGACGGACATGAAGCTATCGAGCGAGCAATCGATTGGGGCAAAACAGAAGTGTCTAATAAAAGTCAAAGTGGCGTTTGTATGAAGGAGTTGGGAAAAAATTTATTTGTACAAAAAGCATTCAACGGGTTGCCCGGATTTTGAATGTCGGAGGATAGAATATCCGTAATTTCAAGACATACATTGATTGAAACGCTAGTTAAAGTCCTATTGTAATAACTGCAGAATAGAATAATGAAAGGGATTTAATCATCTAGGTTTCATAGTTCTGGGCGGGACAATCATCTGCATTGTGGCGAAGGGTCTTAAAAGTGGCCTTTAACATGAAATTGTTTCCGTACGCTACACTCTTTTTGTGAGATACGTTTACGAAAGGAGCATTGTACTTTTTAGGTAGGTACAGAGTAAATTCCCACAGTACAGATTATAATTTAGAGGTATTCATTACGGTGGAACCCGACTACAAAATTTTTTTAAAGTACGTATTCATTGTGCACCCGTTTTCTGTTCAGAGATGACGGGATGAGCTTTTTCTACTTTCTTGTTGTTTAGTAATAAATCAAGCAACTTAATGGCTGTTTCTCATATGTATGTATGGCATACAACGTCTTTAGTTACAATACGTGCTCTATATTTTAGCAACACTGCTTTTGCACAAGACAGTGCCGTACACGAAAGCTACTTTTTTCCATCCCCCAATTTGATTACGAAAATACCATTTCTTTGCATTTATCTCGCATCTGAGGATGGTATAAAGATCGGGAGCCAAATGGACTGCCTTTAAAATTACGTCTGTCTTGTTTGCTTTATGCATACAATTTCTTAGACTTTTTCTTTCCGCATTTTGTTTGTGTTTGAAAACTATACATTGTCATCAGTATATCACGGGATGTAACAGAAAATCTTGGATTTTGGTTTTTTGTTTATACATTTGATTTTAAAAACGATCAGTTAACTACACCGCTAAATCTCCTAAATGTTTGCCGTACTCGTTGTGACTCCAATGACTACTTCAAAAGTCAAAACAAAGAAATGGAAGGGTTATTCGTTTCAAACGGTTAAAAAAATAACCAAGATTGTTGAGATATTCAATTGAAGTGCCTACCTACATTGAACACGAAGATAAAATGCTGAACTGCTGAAAGGTGGAAATGTTTTATTTCTTCTCATGGCATGGCATCAATAATTAGTAATTGTCCAAAAAACCTGGAAGGGAACTGAAAATTATTGATTTTCCAGAACTGGACCTGTACAAATCAAACCACAAGAAATACTGATTTATTCCAAATCAAATATAAAAATAAAAATTGTCACCACAACTGGATAGCGTATCACACAAATAGCACATATTCGCCCAAATAGTCAAAATTATGAATTATTTCACCCACCACTCTTAGTAGACTTACTATACAATTGAAATTCCCCCAATTTACCAAACCCCACAAATCAAGAATAATCGGTTAGCAACTAATTACGGAATCTTAAAACTACTTTCCACAAATAAATTGATATTCCGGGCAAAAATGAGCACGTATTAGGCCAAGTACAAGTAAAACATATAATAAGGCAACTCTTACCTTGAATAAAGTTAGCGGTTGACACCAAGAAGTGAGCTCAGTTCTCGCATCCCAAACCTGTAAACGATCAAAAAGAAAGACCTTCCAAGCCGTAGGGCTCGGTATATATAATTAGTTGATTAATGCCAGAGGGGCCTCGTTCTACTCGTAATCTACTTCTATACCCGGTACGGTACTGAATTAGCCAACCACTTCAGAAGGAAGTGGTGGTCTTCCACAGCATTCGCATTTCAAACTCGATCATAACTGAGATGGCAAAGATATTGAGTAGGTGCAGATGTTTACAAATTACTTAAATGTAATCGCATATAGCATTCATTTCAAGACAAAACAAGTTGTAAATCAGCATATGCATGATTAAAGCGCATTTTTGGTAATGCAGGTCAGTATTTTATTAGGGAAGTTTAAAATTATCGATCTCACGAGTAATTTTGGCTGCGTTAAGTAATTAATTTTATTTAATTTCAATTGATGATACGTCTTCATTTTGTAAAACAAATCACAAAGTAAATAATAAGTTTTTATACTAGTAGCGCTGTCTAACGGTAAAATTATAGCACCTCCGAAACCCATATCGAAATTATTTTATTCAATTATCGATCTCACAAGTAATCTAACTCAAAATAGACTAGTGCCTGCACATCTACACTATAGCAGAAAGCTTTTAGTGAAAATTTGAATTCTCTAGCTATTGTAGTTGTGGAGAACTCACGCGGACAGCCGGCCTGCCAGCAATAACGAATATAATAGCGTATTTTTTTCAAAAATGCGCTAAAAAAACTAGGATTTCATGGTACGTATACACATGTGAAAAGTAAGTTTTGGCAATTCGTGTACGATTAACTCTAGGACAAGCTCGCATAGTATTGCTTATATCCACATGATCGGGCTGCAAAAACAATATGTTTCTCGGTAAACATTTTTTCATCTTCAAGTAAGTAATATAGAGATGTTCAACGTCCTAGACCTAATTCTATGCCACTCCAATCTCTTCGTGTACTTGCACCAGTTAAATTTCGGAAATCAACTTAAGGTGAGATACTTACTTAATGTTTACTTTCATCTACTAAGAATGTGAACCTAAAAAAATATTAATAAAGTGGCACCCAACAGATAAAGCAATGCTCACCAACCACTTCCGGGCCTCTCTGTAAAATGAATACATTCTTTAAATAGAATAAGTTCGTACTAGTTCTCTCTGGACCATAGAATCCCGAAACGTCGGAAATACTATTCAATTCTGCCTGACTTTCCCATTGAGTTACAGGATACGCAGATCTTTACATATATAAAGGCATCGTGTAATGTAAAGAATCTACATTTTGATAAAGGCGCTCACTGAGTTTACGAAGTAAACAATAACAACTTGTTTGCTGTTGACGGTTCACCTTCAACCATCCTCGAATCCTATTAAAACCTTTCAGTATTTTTTTTAATCAATTAAAACCTCACCTAAAATTGCTATTATGCCAATTTCCTTCTCTCTCGTTCTCTATTTAGTATTTTTTAGGACAATTTTGGGAATGAATTTTGTATATAATGAACTGAGGAAATCAAGACATGCTACTTATACCAAAAATAAATTTCTTGTTAAAAATTCTTTGTGTTCCGCTATGCAATTTTATATAGCTTAGGGCCACACCGAAACAAAGTTCTTAAACTTTAAATTTCTCTCTCTGAAAGACGTAATTTAATAGCATTGTGATAAACCGGGTTACAAGTATCGTGCAATATGAAGGAGAATTTAGTTGCTTTAACATACCTCGTACGAAATCTTCTTATCCTCCCTTCGTCTACGCACTCGTACAGAATCTCAATAACCTTTCGATTACTTTATATCCGAAAACGCAAGATAATTCCTAAGCGTGGGACGTGGAAAGATGTAGATCAAAATCAAATCAGCATTATGCCGATAACGCCTCTCTTCTTTTAGTCGTAAACGATTTTCCACTTCGATTCTTCTAATAACGTTACAGCATGGCCTAATAAGAGTACAGTACGATTTGATTGATACTGGAACTGGGGGAAGTTGCACGGGTATACAGCAAATTAAATGGTAACAATTTAATAAACAGAGAAAGTAACATATATTTCAACAATGCTTACAGAAATGTAAGTACGTGTGGCTACAAAATCAAATACAAAACAAAATAGTTCTTCGCGTGACAATTTCAACGTATCAGTTGGATTAAAACATCAATAAAATTAATTAGTACTAATATTTACACAATATTTATGTACAATACACAATTTAACGGTTTGGTCACATCACTAAAAACGTTTTGAGTTCACACATACTATTAATTCCACTATAATGCGGTATTCTGAACAGTTCTTAAACTTATACGTAATATCACTTTGAATCGCGCACGAAGTCATTGATGATAAGTTTTATTTATTTAATACCCTGCCATCCGCCACCAGAATAGTATATTGCACGACACAAACTTCATTAAGTAACAGCGAATATTAGTGTAATAATGAGTATGCACGTCACGTTATAAGACTCTTTACTTGCAATAGATTTGGCACGGGCCCCGTCATCTGCCATTACACTACTTGCAATTACCACCGGAGCACCGGCAGCGGAAACGCTGGATACTTCCGGCACGATACAAGCCGTGTAGTTGTCTACTCCCTGACAACGCTGTGCGTGTTCTCCTAAACAGGCGCTATATGCAATTGCGTGTGGAATGTAACTTTGATCGAAAGTTCCAGTAAAAAGTATGGTAGCTAAAGGTCCAAGAGCGTATACCGGAACGTCCTCTCCTCCATGTGTTGCCCATTGTCGTGGCACTGCCGCCCCATGAACTTGATTGCGGTCTTCATTTTGGGTGGTCGTATTAATCGGGACTGTTCTCGGAGTACTATATCCTGGACCATTTCCGTACAAAATCGTGCTATAAGGTTGTCCGTCGATGTCAGATACTTTGCTGTCCGGACCTAGGAAACAAACATATTCTTAAAACTGTTTGATCTAAATCTAAATGTAAATTTGTAATCAATAATTACAACACAAACTGCAAACCATGACTTTTATCCTGAACACCATAATGGCGCTTCATTGACATCTCATGTACACTGTAGTTTAATTTAAAGTATAGCAAGTACAAATCTGCCCTATTCGCTTTGATTAAAGCTCCCAATGAATACTTAAGGACTAATTGCAAGAATTTTCACTTTCACAAGTCAGTCACTTGTGATCTTACTTCTTTTAAATCAATTTACGCCTAAGGAACTAAAATTTAATGCACGAAATGGAACCCAATAAATTGATTAATTGAAGTTATAGACAAGACGGAATAAAAATTCATAACTTTGTAATAAATCTTGGCGCGCTGTGCCTTCGGGGACTTATCGATTTATGTAAATTACGACTGATTTTAAAAATGCCATTAATTGCGTTTGCTCTGCCGGAAAAATTACTGACGAAATACATTTTCGTATCCCCTTTGATCTTGCGTTAATCTTTAAATATTGAAATCAAAGCAAGTAGTCGGGATACGTTTTCTAATCGCCTCGCACGTGAAAGATTAAAGTTAACCATAGGAACAGAAAGAAGCAACCGTGTTGCTTTGCCCTATGAACGCATTTGAAATGCAGCTACATTTAAGACGAGCCCAACTGAAAGCTGTAAAAGAAACCTAAGTAAACGAAGCGGTTCTAAAAGTGCTGCATAGCCACTGGCGTCTGTCTACGTATGAATGAAGTCAAATGCCGCAAAGTTTAATACTTAATTTTTCACAAAAATGCATGCACCAGCACATAAAAATGTCATAAATTTATTGAGGTTGAAATGATTAATATACTGGGGGTCTAAATATCTCGGTGAATTTTTTGCGACAGTCAGGATAAAAAATGTCCTTCCAAATTGAAGGAAGTACTTTCTCTTTCTTGTTTTTCAGAGTAATAGTAAATTTATTAATTTGTTAATAACGCAAATGTGTACTATAAGTCCCTCTTCACACTGATATTAGTCTAACTTGTAATTTCTGTTAGTAATAATAAGTGATATGATAAGATACATGGGTATAGCGACAAACGTGTTGAGACAATTCTTGTGCTAACTATATACAGATTTCAAAAAAGTAATAGCCATCACCGTAGGAGGAATAGAAAAAACAAAGATCCTCTGACTTTGAAAATCGCTGGAAAAACAACTTATTGCTGATCGACGTGAAAAATTCAATCCCTGGGAGATACAAAAAAAGTTTAAGCCATCACGAGCCAGCGAGACGTTATGCTATACCCTTGGCTATACCTAACAAGAATTCTCCCTTTCACACAAAAGTTGTAATTTTATATGCTCAAATGTGCAGATGTCCCAAAATTCCATATTAAATACCACCCGTGCGCCATGCACAACCGTTGCCTACCTTACATAGGTTTTAAATCAAACAATTGGCTAAAAAATCACCTCTAAGATTATTTCTCTGAATGAAAATGATTATTTACAGTCCATATTCGTCTTCCTTTAATTATTCGAATTGGTTTTTTTGCGAATGCGAATTAAATTATAATCGCGTGCGTATTTAAGGAACGCTTAATTACCAATTTAAATTTGTTTGTTATACGGTTTGTTCAAATAGGTTTTCATTATTGATTTGAAGGAATATTTTCTTTCAGTTAGAAGTAGTTTTGGATGCTTCTTTTACAGAGGTGGTAAGGATGTGTTCTTTTATTTCATTGTTTAAGCGTATGTAATTCAATTTTAGTGACCTTTTCAAAATTAGCACAGTGTTGTAATTTATACAGGAGGAGTTCAAAAGATTATTAACAATTAATGGCAAGTAAAAGTACGTAAAGGTAGGTTACTACAACACAAGAAGGCGAAGAAAATTGCGAAGAATTTTACCAATAAAACCACGAACCCAAAGTTTATTTCGTACAATTACATATAACTATACCGTTACAATGTAGGTACCTTCAGTCGCAAGTAACGGAAATAAGAAGTAATGTCATATACGACTAATAGTCGTTTGCACCGATAAATTTAAGCTGGACGTAGCTTCAGCTTAGCTTAAAATCTATGGTAACCATTGTCTCAATAATCGTTGCCATGGATTTTAAGCTACGCTTAAGTTCTTTGCTTAAATTTGTCGGTGCAAACGGCCATAAGAGAATAAAATGAGTATTCACGAATTCAGCTTCTTTTTCCACCGTGACCTTTTAATTTTTGTAAATTTGTAGAAATACGGCACTCATATGGAGTGATCAAAAACGTCGGAGTTTCAAAATAATTTCTTTAGTTTCTAATTAAAATTTAAATAACGACGAGGCAATTAGTAGGTAACTGACCAGGTATTCGTGACTTTCTTTGAGAATAATCGCAAGTCTTCCACATCGTGAACGTTTTGAAAATGGCGGGATTGTTGGTAATCACGGGCGCTTTTGTAATTGTGACGGACGGACAACAATATAAAACTATAAAGGCTCTCAGGATCGTTAATACATTGTACCAATGTTATTATTCAACCAGCTAATATGTACCTATGCAGAAATGGTAGTAGACTGCCAAGTGACCTTGAAGATCGTAGCGGTTCTTTATTTGTGCATAGTCCCGTTGGGAACGCCTGGTTCAATCACGGTCCTCCGTTCCCATCAATAGATACACTCGTATCGATCAGCAGTGCGACTGCGAGTGCCCCCCATATAAACTGCCACACTGCCCGAGAAGAAGAGCGAACCGAATCACAGGGACTGTTACTTTCTCATGGAAAAAGTCCTCTTCTTCACATCACCCATCAAGGTCCACAAGCAGAGAGTCGATTCACCATTTTCCAGCGCATGTGCATCATGAAGCGATCAGGCCCACTTCACTTACGAGTTCACTCAATTTTAATGGCCCTATTTTGCAACGAAGTGTTGCGTAGAGCCACAAAATATCCCATTTACGCTGCCATCAATAATGGCATATTCTGAAGCATCAGCGGAAATTGTATTTATCGGATCGTTGATCATCACAGGCCCCCAAAAGAAGATGATCTCGAATGACAAAAACAAGGTGCATCTCATTGAGCATCTCTGTTCTGCTTTTTTTGTCGAGGGGATTGAAACAAAAACAGCAAAAGAAGAAGCAGACCGCGATATTGTCGAGACTGCTCTGCAAAAGAGTACCTCCAATTACCGCATCATCATCGTTGAGGAGGGTATTGATTTATTCCTGCTCTAGGATCTACTAAAACCGCTACTTTCAGAAGAGTGGAAGGTGAGGCAGGTTCTGGCAGGGGAAAGTGAAAACGTGGGGGGCTACTTCAGACAGAATCAAGCCCAAGTGAACCAAGCAAGAGTTTTCCTCTACATAAATGCCACCCAGCAACAAGTCGCAGCAGCCGGCGAAAGTGCTTAGTCGTTGTAGGTATATACAGGAGACGAGACGCCCTCACAGATGTGCGCTTCCGCCTTTTTGTTAAGACAGCTGGCAGCCAACGCCAGGTTTTCCCCTAACCAAAGAGGTGCGTTTTTTTCATTACTACACCAAAAAACCAAATATAGGAAGGTTTTGGAACATTTCAGAAAAATGCGGCTTTACCTTATTTTTTTTTGAGATTTTGAGAAAACTGCAAAGCCTACCGACCTCACTTTGCGCTTTGAAGCTAATTAAATTGCCTGCAACTTATATTATATTATGAGTTCTACTTGTAGGATCAATGGTTTAGCCACAATAATAAAGAAGGTCTAGAACGAAAATTGTCAAAGTGACGTAATTCTGTAACTACTTGACCTACAGAGCTCCGTCATAAATTGTCACATACTGGCTTTTATAGAAAAACTCATATAGACGGAGAGCTAGCTACGGAAAAAAGTGACTTATCGCTACATGGCTGATACACAGTGAAGTAGAAAAAGTCATGTCTGCCAGCGAGTTCCCGTGGCTTAAGTTTGGGAGGTGTGGTGAAATATGTCAAATTTTAATAAAACAATTTTCCTACTATATTTACATCTGGATGGCGCCTGTATTTTGAATCGACGCAAAAAATAAATAGAACTGTTTTTACAGCTTATCAGGGTACATTTTTTTTGTATTTCACATTTTTCGCTATGGTGCTTACTTTTAGAGAAAAGTGCAAATTAAAAAAAATTATAAAATAAATAGTTTAACTTTTCCATTTAGAATTTCTGAAAAACTGAGAAACACAAAAAAAACTGTAATGGACTGTTTTGTGGAGTTTTGTATGCCACATTTGCCAGTGTGTGCGAAAGTGATTACAAATTTTTTTTTTCTTATGGCCGTTTAAAACTGTATCCATACGGTTCCTTTCTTGTGAACACGATCACTCAAAAACGCATGAAACGATTTTTATGAAATTTGGAATGTTTATAGGATTGCATAGGGAATCGCAAACGATCTATTTTGGTTTCGGTCCGTTACCATCTTCAGGGCTTTTAAGGATGTTAGAAGTTTAAAAAGGCCATAACGGCTGAAAAAAATGTTTGTAATTTTTTTCGCATACACTGGCTAATGTGGCACAAGAAACTCTACAAAAAAATCCATAACATTTTTTTGTGAGTTTCTTAGTTTTAAAGAAATTTTAAATTGAACAGTACTCTTCATTTTATAATTTTGTTAAATATAAAAAAATAAGTGCTTTGATCAGCTGTACAAAAAAATCTCATCCATTTATTGCGTCAGATTCAAAATAAAGACGCCAGAGGTAAATATAGTCGGAAGATCGGCAGTTTTATTAAAATTTGACATATTTGACCCAGCCTTAATCCACGGGATCTCGCTGGCAGACATCACTTTTTAGAGAGAAAAAACAGAAAACAGCCCGAAAATTTCTCAGTTTTTCGTGTGCTACACTTTTTTCAGAACTTTTAGAGAGTTCTTGGTGTTCACTGCCCTAATGGGTACAAATAAGGTACCAAAAAATGAGAAACGCATTATGTTTTGTTGATTTCTTGTCGATATTAATTAGCCTATACTATGTACAAAATTTAAATTTAAGTTGATCGACAAATATAGCACAGCACAGTACACTCTCATAACGCAAGGTCAAATCAGATCAGAATTCCACGTAGGCGCCACTCTGTATAACTATCAAAATACACAGAAACATCTACCCTACGATCTTTAAAGTCTTGTTGACCATATTAAAACGTATAGGTACATGAAATTTTCATTACCTAATATGAGTGAGTGCTGTATATTTATTTAGTTAATGTATAGAAGTTATATTTGTGTTACTGTTTAAGACATGATGCTACCTTTTTTTAAGACGAATGTGTATAATTTCTTATAATTACTTTCTAATAATAAACATTATTATTACTATTAGTAATGTTCAGGGTGTCCAAACAACTAAAAAATTTTTTCTTCAAGAACGCTTGTTTAAAATATTGAGTCGCATTGCATACGTTCCCTTCTTAAAATTATAACACACTTCCTGATGTAGTCTCACCAATCTACGTCTAATAAAGTGCAGTAATGCTCTACATTCGCATACAGTACAGGCGTACAGCACATTAGCTGTAATTCAAATCGTTCGTCGTATGCTTGATAACTATCGGAAAAAAGCATGAATCACAATTACCTACTTTAGCCATCTCTAATTTCTATCTCGATTAAGACTATGCTAGAACAATTTAGTTCTTGTTCGCATAACATTGGAACCGCAAATGCTAAGTTAACGTTCCAGCTCTAGATCTAGATTAGTGACAAATCGTGGTTTAACGATACCGAGAAATACAAAACGGGCAAAAAAGGAAATGGAAATCAAGAACCCGTTAAGAGCACGAGACGGTTATGGGAAATTGCTAAATATCTCTTTAAATGAGGTCACTCAAAATACAAAATAAGTCAAGCAGAAGTACACTCTGCGCTAACTGAAGAAATCACGATATGTATCAAATCCGAAATTACATTTCTCTTGAATGCGTCCGTCAGTGGATCGCTAGATGAAATGGGACGATGTTTTCTGGAGGATAAGGGTAAGATAGGTAAGTCAACATGAATTTGGCGTAGATTGATTAATTATTAACGAGACGCAACTTGGAATCCCAAATCCTACGTGTACGTTTATGCACAGAACGTGTATTGATTATGTGTCTGTAATGAAACTTTGAACGAAGTATTACTGGGATTAGTCGGTAATGCTCCTGGGCCAGGAGTAAGGATGAGATTAAAAAAATTTATAACTTTTTCATTAGGTAGGTCATTTCAGTATACCCGAATGAGATCTTATGAAAGATGTTAATATTAAATATAACAGTTAATGATAATCCTGATTAAACCGTTGCGTGAATATGATTTCGTTATTCAATGATTAAACCGAGGATTAAACTTAATGGTGAATAATGACTAAAATAATGTCTCATTGAATTATGGTCTTGATTAAAAGGGACAGAATTCAATTTACTGTTGACCTTTGTTACGTAACCTGTAAAATAATATAAAAATGTGAAGGAGGTAAACAATATACTCCAGTCAATCCACCACGTTCCCTCATAGAAATTAAATTTCTGGCGATGAACAATTGACTGAGTTAACATCTCGAGTTCATTGCCTACTTCTACACTACTATTCCTTACATTCTAATCTTACCTATTACCACCACTAAATGGCAACTCAGAGAGTCGATTTTGCTATAATGTACTGCCCAATAGACAACCCCTTAATTGAAAGAATTCAAAAATATAAACAATCCTAATATTTTGCTCCATCCTTAGGTACAAGTCATCATACCACAAAACGCAGTGGTTCTCGAATACAAGTGACTTTCGTTTAATTCAACCAGAAAAATAAGGCAATTCAGAACTGAGCCTTTGAAAACTTGCTACGGATTTAAAATGCTCTGCGTCCGGGGCAAAACAAAGTTAACGCGTACGTTATATAGCGCTCATTTTCCCCAATTTTTTATATCATTCTCCAACGTAACACCTAATGGATGCGATATTCGTCACCACATTCAACTTTTTGTATCGCAGAATGGTAAACTTGCGAGATTTGCTACAGAGATAAGCCGGGTGTGAAAACTGACTTCTCATTGTGAACAACCAGCCATTTTCATTCAACCATAATGCTGTTGCTTAAATATTCCTTGACATGATAAGTTTGAGGAGGAATGTGAACAATACCTACTTTACAAAGTAATTATTATGTAAACGCACCCTTAAATAATTGAAGTATTAAAATACATTGCATTCACGATCAAGCAAAAATACGTTTAATTAAAAGCGACTTAATTATTGCTTAGAAACAACTACGAATTTACATAAAGCAATTTTACCAAGAATAGGATGTCCTCTCGGTGTTGCTTGACCTCCCATTGTTAAAACATGCGAATGGTCGGAAGTTACGACGATGAGAGTTTCGGTTGGATTAACCATAGATAAAGCCGCTAAAAGCGCAGTTTCCATAGCTAAAGTTTCGTCCAAAGCCCTATAGGCGTTGTTATAGTGATGTGCGTGATCAATCCGTCCACCTGAAAGCAAAAGAAACGTTACTGACCTGAATCTTTTATCCCTCTATGAAGGCGCGGAGGAGCTTAAAATCATTTCGTCGAAATTTCCCCTCGTCATATCGTTGGTATAAAGTAACTCAATTAATTTGTCCTTTATTTCGCAATATCTTATTTCATTTGCCTTATCTAATTTTTCCTTAATAGTTCTCACTGGGCTATAAACTTTTAATTTTGAACGATATGATTTGATTACAGATTTTGATAACGATTCATAACTTTGGTCGAAATAATACGTAAATGTTACACTCTGAGATTATTTGATACATAATAGGTATATTAATACTTAATGAGAGTTATAAATTTATAATGGATAAAGTTTCGCAAACCTTCCTGAATTATTAGATTATGTTATTCGCTTATTACGATTATTTCCTAGACGAAAAGGCGTAATATCCTTCAGATCCCAGGCTCCAGACGAACCTTAAACCTTGAAAAATTATTATCGCGGATTGCGGAAACAGTTTGGCCGATTTTAATAAACTCAGCCAAATTTTGGCGTGCCTGATGGTAGCCAGTACACGATATATCCAGTACGCGCCAGTACATCAGTACTCTGTAGTACCGTTTGAGTACTATCTTAAAACGACAGCAAACATTTACTACATATGAAGGACGCCGATATTTTTATGTACTGGCTGGCGAGATTTGGAAGCTAGCCAGTACACTGGATAACGATAACCCGCACATTAATATACAACGGTACTATTTAGTACTTCTTGGGTACTGAATACATACACATTACACAATCAGTTTCTTGGTTGCCTTGTACTGGCTACTGTCCAAATTCCGCTAGCCAGTACTCGAGAAATTGATAACCAGGAGAGAAACATAAACAAACAGCAGTACCATTTAGTACTGCTTAAGGATTGATTAAATGTAACATCAGTTTTCTAATATTGATAGGATTATACTAGTACATACTGGTTACCTTCCGAATCTCGATAGCCAGTACAGTGGATTGATGTACGGCTGATAAATAAGCGATAGTACGATTTCGTACTTCCTAGGTAGCAAATATATATCCAATCAACTGAGTGGTACTTTTAAGGATTACCTTGTACTGGACACCGTCCATATGCCGATGAAACAATCAAATTAAATTATACATCAACAGAACAACAGATTCCAGACATTGTGGCAAGAGGTGTATAAATTTAAATATTTTTAAGATTGTTTATAGCTTTAGGAGTTTATGAATTATTGTGGAGTTGAACGATTGTAGTAGCTGTCCCATAACACTTTCGGTCCAGAGATCGCGTGGCGTGCGTAAAAGTGCCTGGAAGTTCCGGGAAGAGCGGGATCTTCTAGTGTCCATCGAGACGGAAGCGGTGAATGTTTCAGCTCTGTGGGTGTAGAAATGCTATTCGGCGAATGTGCGGAAACAGAAGGAGGTAGTACTCGTGAGGCGACAGCAGCAGGATAGATAGTGCAAATCATTGTTGGTGTCCCGGATACACGATTCCCATATAGGATAAGTACAGCTAAAGGCTAGACTGAAAGCGATTTGGGATGCTTTGATCCGTGTCTTCGAACGCAGTAGTATTTCCAGCCGAATGTATTTGCATATACAGATGTTGTCTCTGAGATTCGAGTCCAACAACCTGCCAGGAGCATTTTCTCAAACTTTATCGTTAATTCGTAGTGATGTTAAATTACACGTTTTTTTTTAAGTGCGTAATATTACGTGTAAAATTACCAATTGTTTATGTCTTTTATGTATTTTATGTAATTTATGTAACTTACCATTTTTTAAAAAAAACCGTAATTTTACAGTAAAATTACCAGTAATTTATGTTTTTTAGGTAATTTACAAATATTTTTGTAAAATTACCTGTTATTTATGTTTTTTTTAATATTCTATAAACCTTTTTGAATTTTGTGAGTGTTTGAAAATAAAAACACTTGTTAAATTATATATTTTGGTGTATTAAATAAAATACCCAAGCAGTAGGTATTTCGCCATCACGCGTCGTTTGGAGGGAGAAGTTCAAAATCGCGAATTAGATGCTGTATCATCTTCATTAAACCAAACTAGATTAAATGGTGAATCGTTTACGTTGGTAGTACCGTTGATGGTCTGTGGTAGTACCGATCAAAATGTATCAAATAGGTATTACATTTTATGTAACTTACAAAAATTACGGATTTTTAAATAAAAAACGTAAGTTACATAAATTTCATAAAAGACATAAATTACATTAAAAAAACCGACCTCTTGTAAGTTACGCGTAATATAACCGTTTTTTATGTAACTTACAAATCGTTATTTTACAATCCACATCACTATTAATTCGTAAAATCTGAATTTGGAATTTGTCAAGTGCCGCTTGCTCACCGAGGAAATTAAACACAACCAAAAAGGTGTTGAGTCGGACTTCTCGAAATTGACTGGAGCAGCTTTTTCAGGAACGAAGAAATCACCGAAAAAGAAAAAGGCGCTACGGATGCCCAAAGTATACGCAGCAGACCGGGACCACCAAGCAGGAGAAGCCCAAATAAAAGGCGAATTTGGCAAACGATAACGAACAATGGTTCGTGGTTTCAGGATATTCGGACCACCAAATAAAGGACCAACACCTCTTCGAAGAGTTGAAACCCCTAAAGATCAGTGAAAATTGCGGTGACCAAGGAACAATCGGCTGAGGCTCAGTACAGCGAGACAGTAGATTATTTTCCATTGTAAATTATGTGTGCATTCTTATTTATACAAAAAAGTCAAACGAAACGCATTATCTAAACCCCTTAGAATACAATTTGATGGCTATTCGTATATACGTATAGTTATCTTACTCACACTCAAGCGCACGTATAACTTCCACTCTTAATCATGGCGGCAGCTTAAATACGCTTAGGGGATGGTTGACCTCTACAATTGGTCCGGCAGCTTACAAAGTATATTAAAATAGCCCCCTTACTATCATAGAAAAAAATCAAGTCTCAGACTGTAAGTAAAATGAGTACAATTTTCACGTAGGTATCTGTAGCACCTGGTATCTGAGAATTGGGCCCAAGATGGTGGAGATCTCGAAACTGTAGGTAGATATAAATTTGAAAGTTACGTATCTTGATGCTTAAAAAATGCTGTTTTGAAACTTAAAAAATCCCTTCACTTTCGGAGATATTCGTGGAATTAACGAAATTTTGCAAAACGGTTTTTATTTTTTACCGAAGTTATTTAAAAAAAGATAGTCTGACGTTTCGTCTCAGGTTAACCATCAACTTTGTTTTTTCTTATGGAAGTTATTTTATTTTTTTTTTTCAATTTCAAGACGAAATTTTGTTTAAGCATCAAAATAAGCAAATTTTCCGAATTTAAACTACCTACTTATCTACGGTATCTGAGATTCCCATGGTGACCCTGTATATTTAATTATCAAAACGTAAATTTTCATCAAAATATATCAAAATCACATTTATTCTGAAGTTTTATTGATACTACATCCAAACGAGTGCACTAGAATTGAACGTTATACATTTTTAAGGACCACAACATCTCAAATTTGCAAGTGCGCACGAACTTAATTGGGAAAACAAGCTCGATGCAGAAGATTTACCCAAGCTTATAATTTTCAAAAACAAACAAAATGTAATATCCTAGTAGCTTTCACCTTTTCATTACTGCATTTGCTTTTTTGATTTATATTTGGATAAAAGGTATCATCCACTTCATCTCGGGTACTTTTTGGTAGAATCAAGCGAAATAATGTCGATATTCTACAATTTTCTTTGTGCTTAATGCATTATTCTGAACAACCAACAACTCAAGTTTTAGGTTGACATATAATTATGATGGTCGTTCCACATTCAGACTGATTTATGTGTCCAGTTTTAAATTTGTAATGCACCATTTTCACTCGTGAACGTAATCCTCAACGAGAATTCATAATGCTTAAAAGATAAATATTTAGGGAACATAAAATTCAAATAAATTAAACCAAATGGAAAAACATGACAATATTTAATGGATGAAATACAAGCATCCACGCGTAAAAAGTATCCGAGATCACTTTTGAAAAGTAAATTTCTACATCGCACCAATCACTTATAAAATATGAATCACATACTCTAAATAGTCCAAATAATCCAAATAAATAAAAATGCCGTGCTAAATCCCAGGTGAACAACAACACCGTTATAAATATTTAGTATTGCAGGTCCATGTGCTAACATGACCGACATGTAAATGCATCTTCTAATTCAAGTGTGAAATGGTTGCTTGGCACGACTCGGTCATAAGAAATTAAGCTATCTCCATATTATATGAGATTAATCATCCCGTGATTAAATACGCATTTTTCAATGGGACAAACGCGTTGTCTCTTTGGTGTCATCATTGCAACAAAGGAGCGTGTCCGTAGATCGTGAGATAATAACGGTTTGTCACTACCTTTTTTTCTCGAAATTCGACAGAGATTATATTACGCTTCCTAACTACTAACTGTTCTGTGGTAATATTAATTAAATTGAAATTGCTAACTCAGTTGCAATTAGGAAGAAAAACAATGCATATTTTGCATTATCACACATCACGATTCTACGTTCACGTTTTTTCATTAATTAGCTTTCAGAACTTATTTATTTACACTTTTAAATATTGTTTTAAATAGTTAAAACTAACCCAATAATTTTTTCCAACTTCCCCAAGGCGTCGTACCTACATCGATTTCGTAAAATATCAAATTTCTTCTTAAGCAGGGATTTTTTGGGGTCCATATAGTGGCGCGTACCAAATTAAAGACGAAATGCAGATTCTGGGACCATATACCTATTTGGAAAAAAATTTGGTTTTGATGCCACCTACCAACCCAATTTGTTTTGAAATACTGCATTATTTTCCATTAGGCTTAAAGACCATATTACAACAATATGATGTAATACGAAAAAAACAGTACCGCACGTTACAACACGTTAATACACTGACTTTGTGCTCGAAGCAAAAAATCTACTTGAAATCCATATCA